TTGAGGCTACATTAACAACAATGTGTTTAACCCTTGTGGGCTCAGTTGAGTGCTAGTTCATCTTTTGGCAGTAAGGTATTCCTTGGGAAATATCCCACCCTCTGACTCCACCACCTCAACAGTATTAAATTATGTGTTTAAAACTTAGGGAGAGGGGGAGAGTGTGTGTGTGTGTGTGTGTGTGTGTGTGTGTGTGTGTACACACATACACACACAAAAATAGTGTTTTGTCTGTGAACAAAAATGTCCCTGGAACCTACCTCTCCCTCTTCCTCCTCCTCCCCCCATTTACATTCATTCTTATGGGGAAATTGAATTCACTTAATATTGTTTTGCTTAAAATTGCGTTTTTCAGGAACATAACTGCAACGTTAAGCGAGGAGTTACTATAATTTAAAGTTTAGTTCATGGATTACTATTTAACCCTACATTCATCTAATCAACATCCAGTGAGGATTCAACTTTAAATAGCGCATCTTGAATTTTGTTCAACCAGGCTTTCTGTACTCAAATTCACTGTTTCTTTTCTAAGCTCTTTTGGTTTCATGTATCTCTCTTTATTTTAGAACTTAATTTATTTTTTCTCAGACTATCTCAACTATACTGAGATACTGATTACGATATCTGGGACTTTAGTGCAGATGTAGAGCACTGTTATGGTATGTAGCTGTTCATACTTAAACATTTAATTTTTCTTACAAACATTTTATTTACACATAAGAATGGACATACTGGGTCATACCAGTGATCTGTCTAGCCCAATGTCCTGTTTTCTGACAGTGGCCAATGCCAGGTGTGTCAGAGGGAATGAACAGAATGGGCAGTAATCGAGTGATCCGTCCCCTGTCATCTACTCCCAGCTTCTAGCATCAGAAGCTGGGGACACCTAGAGCATGGGGTTGCATCCCTGACAATCTTGGCTAATAATCCTTGATGTACCTATCCTGCATGAACTTCTCTAATTCTTTTTTGAACCCCATTATAATTTTGGCCTTCACAACATCCCCTGGCAATGAGTTCCACAGGTTCACTGTGCATTGTGTGAAGAAGTACCTCCTTACGTTTGTTTTAAACCTGCTGCCTACTAACTTCATTAGATGACCCCTTCATTGTTGTTCTTGTTACCCGAAGGAGTAAATAACACATACTTATTCACTTTCTCCACACTATTCATGATTTTACAGACCTCTCATATCCCCCCCATTAGCCCTCTCTTTTCTGGCTGAACAGTCCCAGTCTTTTTAATCTCTCATGTGAAAGCTGTTCCATATCCCAAATGATTTTTTTACTCTTCTCTTTACCTTTTTCAATTTGAATATCTTTTTTTGAGATGGGGTGACCAGACCTGCTCACAATATTCAAGGTGTGGGCGTACCTTGGATTTATATGATCTTTTGTCTTATCTATTCCTAATGGTTCCTAACATTTTTTAGCTTTTTTGACTGCCACTGCACATTGAGCGGATGTTTTCAGAGGACTATCCACAATGACTCCAAGATCTTTCTTGAATGGTAACGGCCAATTTAGTTCCCATCATTCTGTATGTATAGTTCGAATCGTTTTCCAATATGCATTACTTTGCATGTATCAACCCTGAATTTCATCTGCCATTTTGTTACCTAGTCACCCAGTTTTGTAAGATCCCTTGGTAACTCTTCAGTCAGCTTTGGACTGAACTATTTTGAGTAATTTTGTATCATCTCCAAATTTTGCCACTTCACTGATAAGCCTTTTTTTCCTGATCATTTACCACTGGTCCCGGTACAGATCCCTGTGAGGGACACCACTGTTTACTTCTTTCCCTTCTGAAAACTGATAATTTATTCTTATTCTTTGTTGCCTGTCTTTTAACCAGTTACTGATCCATGGGAGGACTTTCCCTTTTTATCCCATGATAAGATTACTTTGCTTAAGAGCCTTTAGTGTGGGACTTTGTCAAAGGCTTTCTGAAAATCTAAGCACACTATATCCACTGGATCCCCCTTGTCCGCATGTTTGCTTGCCTCACCTCAAAGAATTCTAATAGATTGGTGAGACATGTTTTCCCATTACAAAAACCATGTTCTCTTCCCCTAACAAATTGTGTTCATCTATGTGTCTAATAATTCTGATTTTTGTGATCGCTTCAGCCAGTTTGCCTATTACTGAAGTTAGGCTTACTGACCTAGAATTGTCAGGATCACCTCTGGAGCCTTTGTTTGAAAATTATCACATTAGCTATTTTCCAGTCATCTAGTACAGAAGCTGATTTAAATGATTTAAAGGTTACATAGCGCAATTTCATATTTGAGTTCCATCAGACCCTTTGGGTGAATAGCATCTGGTCCTGGTGACTTATTACTGTTTAGTTTGTTCCAAAACCACCTCTGACACCTCAACCTGGGACAGTTACTCAGAGTTTTCACCTAGAAAGAATGGCTCAGGTATGGGAATCTCCCTCATACCCTCTGCAGTGAATCTGGCTGCAGAAAATGGATATAATTTTTCTACAATAGCCTTATCTTCCTTGAGTGTCCCTTTAGCGCCTCAATCATCCAGTGGTGACTCCACAGTGTTGGCAGGCTTCCTCCTTTCGATGTACGTAAAAAATGGTTTGCTGTTAGCTTTTGAGTCTCTTGGCTAGTTTCTCCTCAGTCTTTTTTGGCCTGCTTTATTATACTTTTACAGTTGACTTGCCAACATTTATGCTCTTTTCTATTTTCCTCAGTAGGATTTAACTTAGAGTTTTTAAAGGATGCCTTTTTGCCTCTAAGCATTTCTTTCACTTTGTTTATCTATGCTTGCACCTCTTTGGTCCTCTGACCTTGTTTTTTAATTTGTGGTATACATTTAATTTGAACCTCTCTTATGGTATGCAGCTTTCAGGTATTTTACTTTTGTGATCGTATCTTTTAATTTCTGTTTAACTAGCTTCCTCATTTTTGTGTAATCTCCTTTTTGAAATTAAAAGCTACTGTGGTGGGCTCTTCATGTGTCTTCCCCCACTCCCCCATAAGAATGTTAAATTTAGTTAAATTATAGTCGTTATTATCAAGTAGTTCAGCTATATTCTTGGACCAGATCCCTGTGTTCCATTTAGGAATAAATCAAGAATTGCCTCTCCTCTTGTGGGCTCCAGGAGTAGCTGCTCCAAGAAGCAGTCCTCTTTTTTGAAACAGGATGCTTATGTTCTTTCCTCAGATTATATGTATGGCATTGAGATAAATGTGTGAATCAGGAGCAATTCAGACAGAATAGTCTAATGCTGGGGCCAAAAATGGGGAAATTGGGCTTTCCCTATCTATACCATAAAGAAATACCTTCATAATACTTCCAAGATACTGTAAATGCTCCTCTGCTGAATGTTGCATATTTAGGACTTCAGACATACTGAAGATAGAATGCCACCTCAACCATTAGCTCTGCATTATTTGTGTAGGGTTGCCAGTCCCTCCTTACCCGAGGCATGAATTTCAGTATCTTTAAGTGTACTCTAGTACTGAGCTTCTACTTTAGGATCTTGCTGATGTCTTAAGGTAGCTTTTAGTTTGGAATGTTTTTGTAATTTAAAACTGCATAACATTTTTATTTTTAAAATAGACTTTTATAGGTGTGGATGCTATAGGTGTGAAGAAGTATAGCACTCTTTCCTCAAAGTTCTTGTTGTCTTGGTTCTGTAATGGATTGTTTTTCCAGTGAATGTTAGTGTTTTGTCCAACTGTAAATGTTTCTGATGGATTAATTTTGTCTGAGTTTGTAACAAGTGGTGTGTGGTGGTGTTGTGTTTTTTTTTTTTTTGTGGCAGACATTCAGTGTGCTCTGGGATTACACTCCTGGGGAAATTCTGTGCCACTGCACAGAATTTGTCCCCCACAGATTTCTTTGCTTCCCCATAGAAAAATGACTTTCTGAGGGGGAAGCAAAGGAAAGCCACAAGTATATTTCGGGGACCCAGGACAGCTGTCAGAGAGGTAAATGACTGTGGGGCAGGAGGCGGGACTAGAGAAGATCCAGTTGGAGGTGGCTCCTACCCTGCGCTGGGTTTAGCTGCTAGTCCCAACTGGGCTGGGGAGGACGGGACTTCCTCTTCCCTTGCATGGCATCCGCGGCCAGGTCAGACCCACCCCCAGATTTCTCCCCCAGCTGACGGAAGCTCTGCAAACTCTCCCTCCCGCTTACTGCACCCATTGCTCCTCAACTGCAGGAGGAGGGATCCCTGTACAGGGAGCTGCTCCCCCATCCACCCAACCCCTGTGCATCCAGGTCCTCCTGCCGAGCCTCATCCCCCTGCACTCAACACCCCCCCACACACCCAACGAGCCCCATTTCCCCTGCACCACCCCGATGAGCCACCCGCATCCAAACCCCACTGAGCCTCAATCAGCTGCATCTGGACCCACTGTGCCCCTGACACCCATACCCCCTGCTGAGCTCTGTTCCCGCCACACCCAGACCCCCCCTGCTGATCACCAACCACTTCACCTGGACCCTCCCTACAGAGTCACATTACCGTTGCACTCAGAACCTCTTGCTGAGCCTGCCTGTCCACTCCTGGTACACCTGGCAGAAAGGGGCCCGGTCCTTGCGCTGTGTCAGGGTTGGATGCAGCCTCACCACTGAGTCTGTATCCCGGGGGGAGCTGCCCAGTGATCTCCTACTCTGTGCAGCCAGTGGCCTGTGCTCCCCATTGCCATGCTGGAGCCTCCACATTTATTTGACAAAATTTGCTGAAATTTAAAATATTGTGTGCAGAATTTTTATTTGGCACAGAATTTTTAATGTTTTGGCGCAGAATGCCTTCAGGAGTAGGGATTAGTCTGTTATGCAAGACGCGCCCTCCCCTACCCCCCCAACCACACACATTCTGGAAAGAATCATTGCTTTCGTGCATTTATTGCTTAATTTATTTTTGTTCCTTAATTAACAGCCATGTTTCCTTATTAAAGTAATTTTGAACTGTTGAACTTAATTCATAGTTTACAAATTTATTTTCCAAATGTTTCCTTAACTTGAATATTCAGATATTTATCCAAACATAATTGCTATGGGTTTTCCTGCGGACAGACTTGAAGGAGTATACCGAAACAACATTGATGATGTAGTAAGGTAAGATTTATATTTTTGCTGATACTCTGTGAATTATTTGCATATCTATTTTTTTTAAATACTCATAATTCATGTTGTAGTTTAACCTTTAATGCCTGTAATAAGTAGGTTGGATAGAGTACACGTGATCTTCTGCTTAGAGGTACTTAGGGGAGGGCAAAGTTTGGTGTAAAAGTGGTCTTTGGTTGTATTTCTGTAAAATGAAGTGCATTTCTAGGGATTGTATTCTAGGCCATTGTTCTATGTACACATCAAATTCATACAATCAGCTTTTAAGGTGTAACATTGATCTGGGCTAATTGTGTTGGAAAAGTGCTTAAATGACTTAAGAGCATGACCCCTAACTCCTATAGATCTTTTTGAAAATCTGAGTTTTCCAGAGCAGCTAACCTTAAATTTCTAATGTAAAATACCAAGCAGAAATACTTGCCAGAAACATAAGTGAGTTAAGAGCACAAGTCCCATTTAAAAGTTGATGGAACTCATGTTCATAAGTCACTTCAGGTGCTTTTGAAAATTCCACCCTCTCTGTGGCAACTGGAGAATAAGTGAAATTATGATCTCACAAGAGTTAAAACTAAGGAATTGAGAGGGAAGCACAATTAGTTACTTAAAGTATTTTTTTTGTCCATTTAACTCCAGTGTCTAAAAAACACTTTGTAGAAAAATGTTCATAAGTTTCAGCATTGTTTCCTCTGTCTGAGGGGGGAATACTTAGGCAAAACCAGGGAAGACCTGGTTTGATATACCTGGTATTTCCAAGGTGTAAATGGCATTAAAGAAAACAACCTTAAACCCCAGTGCCTTGGAGGGGGAACTTTCAGGCTTCCTTTGTCCATCGTGCATATGCCAAAAGTTACAAACCTAATTTAAAACACATCCTCATTCATATTTAAATTAAACGGGATCTTGCAATATTGGTTCAGAATATTAAGGCACTTCTCTGTTAGATAAAAGGCATTGTATTCAGTACTTGCATAGCGCTTTGGCCTTGTCTCCACTGTAACATGAAACCATTATGCACACAGTTGTCAGCAATTGGGTTGACTGAGCTCATACTGAGTGTGCTTGAGCTTCAAGTGTAAATGGGGACAAACCATGTTCAACAACATTTAGAGAACACTACATAGAGTAAATGGAAACAATCATGGTTAAACCCTGCACAACTAACTGCCTCTGTCTACACTTGAAGCTTGACCATGCTCAGTACCAGGTTAGCGAAACCAAATTATTACAACTCTGTGCATAATGGCTTAATTTTGTATTCCAAGTAAGCCTTTGTGTCCTAGTGCTCCTAATATTACAGGAGCAATGCTAACACATCTTAATGCACTTCTTAGAGCAACATTTCTCAAAGTCTAGGGCCACAGCCTCCCAAGGGGCTTGGTAAAGGGTGTGTGAAGGACTGTCTAGTGGGGTGTGTGTAAATTATGATTGAGAGGCCTTTCACAACTCATAGTAAGGGAGAAGTGAGAGAGGTACAGTATTTATTTATTTACAAGTAACAGCGCTTATTGACCAGTTAATTGCATAGCTGTGTGATTCCAGCCTGGATGGGGGAAACTACAGATGTGAGTCCTGGTCTTCCCAAATCAGTCCTGTCAATTCCCCTCCCCCCCACCCCCCCGCCACCCATTTTGTGCCTTGTTTATTGACAGTCTCAGTAGGTAGATCTGGGAACTCCCAAGGTGGTGCTTGACTGGTCTTTGTCCTAATTTTTTCTTTACAAAACAACTTTTATTTACAATTTTTAACGAAGTATAGTCACTCTGCTCCTCAGGAGAGATTTTATTCAGAATTCTCAGGGATCCCAGTAACTCAGATGATCAATCCATAATTAAGGCTATTTTTTAATGTCAGATATTTTTAGTAAAAGTCATGGACAGGTCACGGGCAATAAAAAAAAAAATTCACAACCTGTGACCCGTCCATGACTTGTACTGTATACCCCTTACTAAATCTGGGGGGGAGGGGACACGGCGATCCTGGGGTTGTCATGGGGGGTAGCCTGGGGGAGTAGCTCGGGATCCCCACTGGGGCTGGGGTGAGGATGGTTGGCGGGGGCTGGCAGGCTTCCTCCCTGGTTTCGTGCAGATCCCTGGAAGCGGCACTTGTACCCACCTATTTTAGAACTCCTTTTTAATAACCGTTTTATTTCTGAACTGCTAAACATTTTCTCTTATTAAGAAATATTCTGTTTTTTTATTTAACATTGCAAATACTTCCTGTTCTGATTGAGCATTGAGTCTGGATAGTTGGGTTCTACTCCTATTACAGTTAGCCATGAGAGGCATCCCTCTTAAAGACCAAGCTACCAAAACTTGTCCCAAGATTCTGGTCTGATTTGCTTGAATCTGTTACTGGAAGGACTTTTTAGGCTCTGTCTCAAATCCTCTGATGATCAGGGACTCCAGTCCACATTCCTGTTTCATGGCACAGATTCCAGAAGATGCTCTTTGAAACCAGTCCCCACTGAAATCTGGAACTGCCATTGGTAAGGAGTTGGCTTGCTTCTTCAGTACCACCACAGCTGTGGTATTCAGTCTTCAAGGTAGGTCACCCAGAGACCTCTGGTGACAAGTGACTTTCCTTGGTATAGAGTAATAACTACCTTGAGAACTTCAAACCAACAAGAGAGATAATGGAGTCTCCATTTAAGTCTTCAAAGCAAGACTAGATGTTTTTCTGGGAGACATGCTTTAGTTAAACACAAGTAATTGGGCTCAGTGCAGAGATAACTGGATGGCATTCTGGATGGCTATACAGGAGGACAGACTAGATGATCGAATAGTCCTATCTAGCCTTAATCTGAATCTGGGGAGTTAAAAGTTCCAACAAGTCTGTGCTGAGATCATGGGTCTGATCGGTCAAAATTCTTGGCAGCTTGGAGTAGTACCATCTGCAATAGCATTAGTACTGTTCTTCACCAGGAAGCATAGTCAGCAGGGAGATGGCTTCCTCTAAGACGGAGTGCTTTTCACTGTTGCTGAGCAGAGAAAGTCTTTCTTCCCTCATTCCCTCTTTCCTCAACCGTGTACAGCAGTTATTTGGTTCTAGGGAATGTCATACTGCTACTAGGAGTAAAAGTTAGAGGTTCATACTGGGCTCCATTGGTTCCAGGATTCCCATATTTATCCTGTCTCAGCAGCTTTCTTGTTGCCTTCCGTTTCCTGGGCTCCCTTAGGGGTATCTTGACTACAGACTTCAGGACTCCTCAGGTGAGTACAACAATTGAGGCTCTTTCTTTTGAGGGACCGGAATTGAGCTCCAACATGGATGACTTTCTCTTTCCATGCCCTAAAGGCCTCAAGCAGCTTGAGATCTTTGACCATTACCAAGAAGTTTTAAAAGGGTCATGTGACTTCTGGTGGAGCAAGAAAGTAGCCCTGGTTAGCTCCCACTCACCCTTTCTCTAATTTACAGCAGAATTTACAGCAGAGCCCTCCACTTACAGTGGCTCTATACCACTGAGGGAGTTGAGAGTAGAGACAGGTAAGAATAGATTGGTAGGAATAGGAGCAGAAAAGATCCGAGCAGGCTGAAGGCCTTTGTTCCCCACCACCACTGGAGCTACACTGTCAGCATTGCTGGAGGTGAGCGAGAGGCCCATTTGCCTACTTGCTGAGATATACACAGTGAAAGGCTTTACCACACCCGTAGCCTTTCTGGTAGCAGGAGACAGTCTGTCTTTATTTTCTGGGAAGCTGAAAAGAGAAGTGAATGGGTTGGCCTACTTTCTAGGAGGTCTGTAAGGTTCTAGGAATAGGTCCACCCTACTTTCTAGGAGGTCTGTAAGGAGCAGCAGAATTGCAGTCTGGGGACGATCTTTTGAACTCATTGGTACTGCAACAGCAGGATGCATACTGTTTTCCAGTCTGAAAGTTGAAGTGGCATGACTGGCAGGTCCATCCCCTTTGGAGAATCACAAAGAACAGCAGCGGTGCCAGAAAACAAAGTGTGAAGTAGGTGGACTTAGTTAATATCTAGCTAGAAATCTGGGCAACAGTTGGCAAGTCTGAAAAGTTCAGAAGAGGGTAAAACAAAAGAGGAAAATATACAAGTTAAAGAGCTGGAGTGAGAAGAAGACTTAGCAGTCCTGCAGATGGCTCAAGTGTGCCACAGATTACTGCCAATTTAACTCTGGTGCTGGAAACCCGCTTGAGCAAGCTTGAAGAAAAATTAAATGACAGTTGGACAGTGAATAGTCAGATGAACTAGTAGTATCCATTACAGAGATGGACTCTAGAATTACTGCATTGAGGATGACCTGGAGGGTCAAGAGGAGAGATGTATGACCCTAGTGTCTCCTAACAAAACATTGACTGAAAAGGTGGAATATGTGGAAAATGGGGGACCTAGGAAAAAATACCAGGATTCTAGGGCTGCTGGAAGGCACCAAAGGCAAATAACATATAAATACTTTGAAACTTGGAGTCTGAAAGTCTTGAATCGGTTGGTCAGATCAGATAAAGTTAAGATTGAAAGACTTCAATCCCGTGTGCTATCACTGCACAACAGAAATTTGACTAGACCACATCCTGTTATAGTACGGCTACACAACTTAGAGACCAGGTTTTGGTTCTCAACACAGCTGGGAAGTTAAAAGAAATAAAAGTGGAGAGTGACTGAGACAACTCCTATCAAGACCCTTTTATCGGTGCACAGAGGAAAAGGGTTGAGTTTACACAAGTCTGCACACAGCTCCATAGGAAAAAGCGTCAATCTGCATTGTCTCCCCACCCACCCACCCACCCAAGCAAGCCTGAAAATATATGGGGTGGGTCAGTCTCACACTCTTTTTATATACCAGAAGCATAAAAGTTCCTGAACTCAGTCCTGGAACCAAATGCAGGAGATCAAGAACTAGGAACTAATTAGATTAAAGTTAAATAGCACTTAATCAAGGGCCCTATAAGTATCAGGAAAGTGGAATTTGGACAACTTTTGAATGTAATAAAACAAAATGGTTATGCATGTTCAGGAAAATACTGCCTCCGTGG